CTTTGACAAAAACTTGGAAAACAGCTTGCTTATTTTTCTTCTAGGTAGAAGACACAGAAATGCCATTCATCTAAACTCAGAACCCAGAGTTATAAAAAATTAAATTTATTGAGCACTAAGTATGTATTAGAAACTGATGGGTGTCCTCTTTTAATTTCTACATTGTGTTGTAAGCTACATTTTAATGATTAACTTAAAAACAGCCTGGGGCCGGCACCATGGCTCACTTCGTTAGTCCTCCACCTGCGGCGCTGGCATCCCATATGGGCAGCAGGTTCTAATCCCGGTTGCTCCTCTTCCAGTCCAGCTATCTGCTGTGGCCTGGGAAGGCAGTAGAAGATGGCCCAAGTGTTTGGGCTCCTGTACCCCCATGGGAGACCAGGAGGAAACACCTGGCTCCTGGCTTCAGATTGGCGCAGTTCCGGCCATAGCAGCCATTTGGGGAGTGAACCAACCATCGGAAGGAAAACCTTTTCTCTCTCTCTCTCTCACTGTCTATGACTCTACATGTCAAATAAAACACACACACACACACAAAGACAGCCCAGAAAAGTGAAGCAAGTGTCTTAATGCCTCACTGATGATCTCTAGTACTAGTACATAGCTTTTTTTACAACCTCAAGTAGGGGCAGACATTAGCACAGCAATGAGGTTGCTGCTTGGGATACCCGCATCCCATACTGAGTGCTCAATTTGAGTCTCTGCTTCTCTGCTTCCAATCCAGCTTCCTACTAATGTACACCCTGGGAGGAAGCTGGTCATGGCTCATGTACTTGGGTCCTTGCCATCAATATGTGAGACCTGGATTGAGTTCTCAGTTCCTGGCTTGTGCCTGGTCCAGCCCTTTCTGTTGTAGGCATTTGGGAAATAAATCAGCAGATCTCTTCCCCTTCCTACTTCCTCTCTCTATCACTTTCTCCCCTTCCTCCTCCCCCTTCCTGTCCCCTTCCTCTCTCTCCCTCTTTCTCTTTCTCATTTATTTGTTCCTCAGACCAAATGCAAAGTATATTTCAGGCTGACATAAAGTAGGCAAGTAAAAGCAGACATAGGTGTCACTCCCCGTCTTCGTGGAGGAACGACACAGGACCCTGCGCTGTTCTTTTGTTTGCTCGGCCCTCCCCGAGTTTGCTGCTGGTTCTTCCCGGGTTGGCTACCGTCCCTCCCACCTCCGTGGAAGGGCGGTTCCCCCTGCCACTTTCCCCACTTCCGCGGGGGAGCGGCACACCGCCGGCCGGCTCTCTCGGGGGCTGCACAGGTGTTCCTTCAGATAGATGTTCCTCTTAGATATTCCTGGTGCATGTTGTCTCTCTCCTCCTTTATAGTCCTCTTCCACCAATCCCAACTCTGCTACCCACACGCCGAGTACGCTGCTCTCCTCCAATCAGGAGCAGGTCCTACAGTTTATTGGTTGAACTGGAGGCAGCTGTGTAGCTGTTTCCTCCCATAATGGTGCCGTGACTCGGATATGAAGCCTAGGCAGGGTTCTGTGTCGTTCCTCCACGAAGAGGGGGAGCGACAAAGATGATATGTTTTTGAAGTTTTTTTATGCTGAAATTATAGTAGACCTTGTATGTACAGAGCACAAATGGACTTCTTCAAGTAACTCTGAGGAGTCTATTTTTGTTGTTTTAAATGTTTTTCATTTGTATAATGCAAAATATTTTTCACTAACAGAGTTGTATCCACTTACTCTTTTGACTCTAATTCTATTCCTAACCCATCTTCACTCTCAAATACTTACCAAAATGTTTTCTGCTTATTGTTTTAAATTTCTTAGGCACTCTCAAATTTCAACACTTCTGGTCCAGAATAGCTTTCACCCTATTACCTAAAATACTTCATTAAAATTTGTGAACAGCCCCTTAACTAGTTTAACTGTGTCTTAAGTATGTGCATGGCCCTCAAGTTACTGACCTTGGTACTCGTATAACATTTAGTTTTGATGATAATGTCTCCTTTTTTTTAGAAGATTAATTTTTTAGTTATTTGAAGGAGAGTTACAGAGAGATGAGGAGGGAGGGAGGGAGGGTGGGTGGGAGGGAGGGAGAGAGATAGAAAGAATAGATCTTCCATCAAAGGGTTCACTTCCCGGATGGCTGCAATGGGCCGGGCTAAAGCTAGGGTCTACTACATGGGTGCAGGGTCCCAAGCACTTGGGCCATCTTCCACTGCTTTCCCAGATCCAGTAGCAGGGAGCTGGATCAGCAGTGGAGCAGCTGAGACTTGAACCAGCACCCATATGGGATGCTGGTGTTACAGGCAGAGACTTAACCTGCTGGCCACAATGCCGACCCTGTTAATATTTTTCTTTTAGGGGTTTCTCCTCTTTTGTATGTTAGTAAAGGTTTAATTTATTCTTATTTTCAAAACTGTTCATTTTTATTCTTTTTCTCTGAATATATGCATTATTGAGAAATATATGCTGTCATCACATTGTTACTCTTTCATAATCTGTCATTATTTTTCAGATTTCATGTTTCAGTTACTAGAATGTCTCTATTGATAATTCTAAATATTATAAATACTTTTTTAAGATTTATTTATTTATTTGAAAGTCAGAGTTACACAGAGAGAAGGAGAGGCAGAGTAAGAGAGAGATCTTCCATCTGGGGGCTCACTCCCCAGTTGGCCACAATGGCTGGGGCTGTGCCAATCTGAAGCCAGGAGTCAGTAGCATCCTTTGGGTCCCCCACGCAGCTGCAGGGCCCCACGGACTTGGGCCATCTTCCACTGCCCTCCCAGGCTGTAGCAGACAGCTGGATTGGAAATGGAGCAGCTGGGACATGAACTGGCACCCACATGGGATGCCGGCACTGCAGGCATCGGCCCTACCCACAGCACCACAGCACCAGGCCCTAAATTTTATAAATTCTTAAAATTGGGAAATGCATTGCCAACTACTTTTATAACTATCAATTTGGATTGTGAGAAATGTTGAAACTCAATATACCGAGAGCTAAATTCAATACCACTTTTCAGAAAAAAAAAAAAAGTTTAGACCATCTCCATTCATTATGTAATACTTCTTTATGGCGGGTTAACTCTCCTTGAATAAATTTTGATGATACTTTCTCACAAACTACAAATTGATGTTTACCAACTTACGTGAATACAATTTGTAGTTTCTAGTATGTTTTCCTTTTTTCTAATTCTAACACAGGAACTAATGTACCCATGTTCTTACATGTATGTATAGAGGTATGTGTGTATATAGAGAAAATATCCATATATAATATATATATAATTGTGTATATTTTTCTTTCTTTCTACCCTCCTTCCATCCATTTTTATTTTCTTGATAGTATCAAAAATTAAATTTCATTTTTCTATGCTTAATAGCAAATTTTGTGTGGAAATCTAGAACTTTTTTTGTATTTTCTATATTTAATCATTCAAAAATGATTTAACTGCATAATTTTAAAAGCAAATGAAGCGTGTTTAGTTGATACGTTTGATTATTATAAAATTGGTGGTATTATCTAAATCTTTCTTTCAATAGAATTTTGAAATACAGTTTGTCACTGGTTAAAATTTATCTGATTGCTTTGTAGAATGCAGGCTTCTCTAAACATCTCTCTCTCTCTCTCTCTTTTGAGCATCCTTTTATAAACAAATTTTATTGAAGGTATACAAATTTCATGTATTTCAAATATACAGATTTAGGAACACAGTGATTCTTCCCACCCGACCCTTTCTCCAACCCATGCTCTCTTCCTCCTCCTTCCTCTTATTCCCTCTCTTAATTTTTACAATGAGCTGATTTCAGTTTGATTTAACTCTGCACTTCAAAAGGAGTTCAATAAGTAGTAAGAAGGAAAACATACACAGTTCAGGACTGTAAACGATCATTGAACCTCAAAATGTCAAATTTATTCCTATACATTATTTTTGGTACTGTACTAGTTTCACAGATTTTTTCCTAAAACATATGGTATTTGTCTTTTTGGGACTGGCTTATTTCACTACATATAATGGTTTCTAATTCATCCATTTTGTTGCAAAAGACGAAATTTCACTTTTTTCATAGCTGAGTAATACTCCATAGTGTATGTATATTCTAATTTCCTGTATCCAGTCATCAGCTGTTGGACATCTCGGTTGATTCCCTATCTTAGCTATTATGTAATGAACTGAAATGTGCATGGGTTACATACATCTCTTTCATAAACTGATTTCATTTTGTTTGGGAAAATTCCCAAGAGTGGGATTGTGGGCCATATGGTAGATCTATTTTCTGATTTCTGAGGTATCTCCATAATGTCTTCCACAATGGCTAGACCAGTTTACATTCCCACCAACAGTGGATTAGGATAGCTTTTATTACAAATCCTTACCAGCATTTGCTATTTGTTAATTTCTGTATGAGAGCCATTCTAACTGGGGTGAGGTGACACCTCATCATGGTTTTGATGTGCTAGTGTTCCTGAGCATATTTTCATGTATCTGTTGGCCATTTGAATTTCATCCTTTGAAAAATGCCTATTGGGGCCTGCACCGTGAAGCACTAGGTTAATCCTCCACCTGCGGCGCTGGCATCCCATATGGGTGCCAGTTTTAGTCCTGGCTATTCCTCTTCCAGTCCAGCTCTCTGCTGTGGCCCAGGAAGGCAGTGGAGGATGGGCAAGTGCTTGGGCCCCTGCACCCGCATGGGAGACCAGGAGGAAGCACCTGGCTCCTGGCTTCGGATGGGTGCAGCTCCGGCTGTTTTGGCCATTTGGAGAGTGAACCAATGGAAGGAAGACCTCTCTCTCTCTCTCTTTCTCTCTAACTCTACCTGTCCAGTAATTAATTTAAAAAAAAAAGAAAGAAAATAATGCCTGTTTATGTATTGCCCATTTCCTAAATGGTTTGCTTGTTTTGTTGTTGAGTTTTTTGAGCTTTTCATAGATTCTGGATATTAATCATTTTTCAGTTTCACAGTTTGCTAATATTTCCTCCCATTCTCTTCCGGGGTGGGGGAGAGGGGGAGAGAGGAGAGATTGAGAGATTCCAGGGGTTCAAAAACTAGGAAACACTTTATGATTTTGTGTGTCATCCTTGTGCAGGGGTCATGCTAATCTTCTCTGTATAATTCTAATATATGTATACGTGCTGCCGAAGTGAGCACAACTTCAGTCTATTTTTAAATGTATTTATACCACTTACATGATGGCAGTGAACTTTTCTCATTCATTTCATCTTTGACAGCTCCACCCGGTTTGGTTTTGGCATCGTTGTTTGTTCCAGGTACATTTTGTACCCTAAAAACTTATTTAGTAAATTAATAGAAGAGAGATCATTCTAATTCTTTTTATTTTTTTTTTTTTTTACAGGCAGAGTGGATAGTGAGAGATAGAGAGAAAGGTCTTCCTTTTTCCGTTGGTTCACCCTCCAATGGCCACTGCAGCTGGAGTGCTGCAGCCGGTGCTCATTCTAACTCTTGATAGTGAGTCTTTTGAGAACAAGGAAACTATATTACATGTCACAATAGCCACCATCTTCCAGCATCTGCCTAATAACTTTTCAATAAGAATTAGTATACTGGGACCAGTGCCGTGGCATAGTGGGTAAAACCGCAGCCTGCAGTGACAGCATTCCATATGGGTGCTGGTTCAGGACCTGGCTGCTCCTTTTCCGATCCATCTCTCTGCCATGACCTGAGAAAACAGTAGAAGATGGCCTAAGTCCTTGGAACCCTGTAACCATGTGGGAAACCCAGAAGAAGCTCCTGGCTCCTGGCCTTGGATTGGCATGGCTTTTGTCATTGTGGCCATTTGGGGAGTGAATCAGTGGATGGAAGATCTCTCTTTCTCTCTTTCTGCCTCTGCCTCTCTGAAACTCTACCTTTCAAATAAATAAATAAATCCTAAAAAAATGAGTATACTTTAAGTATCCTTTGATGGAAAATATTCTTCAGTAAACATGTATATATATATATGTATATATGTATAAGTATATATGTGTATATATATATATATATATGATCTTAGTCACTAAAATAGAGGCAAGATTTACGAAATCCAAACAAGCTGTTTCCCAAGCACTTTTGTGAATAGGCCGTTTTATCATTTTATGGCCCAGTTAAACAATTTCAAAAATGTCCTGTTGCTATGCAAAACATTGTTTCTTATATTAGTTCATATTAAAATATAATTAAGTATAATTTAAGTTGAATTATTTAGATTTGGCACTAAATTATATATCTTGGGAAAATACTTTTAACTTTTGAGGAAAAAAAATTGACAAAACCAAGAATTGTGTTGATTTTCTACTTTAGTTCTTTATCTCAGGACAACAATAAACCATTTAAAGGATGTATGAATTTTGAACATGACCATCATGGATTCTGCAAGAAACTAGCAGTACCCAGGCTAAATCCAGACCTCAGATTTAAAGACTGCATTCCTGCATTTGGGATAAATGTTTCATAACATTCCACATTATTATGAAGAAATGTGTTAGATTGAAATGTGAGCTTTACTGCAGAAGACTAAAAATGTATGGCTTCAAAATTGTTGTTGTTTACTTTTTTTAAAATGAAACTGGAGTAATATAGGGCTGGTAATCAGGTCTTTGAACGTGACAGGTGTAATAATCTGCTAGAGGATTCTGAGTGGCTCATGATTTTGACCTTTGGAAGGTATAGATTTGAGGGGAAATTTAATTTGGAACCAGCAATGAAAGAAAGATCCAGTTTCCTTGGCTAATATTAGATAGTTATTTTAAAAATCAAGAGGAGTTAGCTGCAAGTTTTACACAGAGGAGAGGAACCAGCTCATACATACTGCGGGTTCTTAATAAATGTTGTTGTCAAAGCTGTAGCTTTTCCATAGCCAAAGTGCATACCACAGACCCAATGGCACCCACACTTTTATTTTGTGGCTTCTGGCTGTCCACATCTTTAATGCAAATAGATATGCCTTTTAGAAACTGCTATTTTTATATGAAGTAACTTCATTTTTATCCAAATGGCATCCCCCCAATTTTATTCACTGCTAGTCTTGTTTAATTTATAAAGAAATGAATTCCATACATCTTAACTAAACATATATGCGTTTTAAAAGATGAGAATATACTCTCAATCTATTGCCATCCATAGTATGGATCCTGTTCACTGAAAGTTTATTGTAAGCTTTAGTTAATTTCTTGGGGTTTAGTTTTCTGAAAAGTATGTGACTCTGCTAAAGAGAAGAGAGAGAAAGAAAATGAGCATCTAAAATACTATTGTACTATCTTCTGTCATTAAACCCCATGGTTTTTAATTTAGTGCCAATAAAAAGAAAGAAGGAAAAATAATGTGTTCATCCAGAACAACAAATGACAGTTTGACTAAGTAGGTAAAATACAGCTATAGATTTACTTCTCCAGCAACTCAAGCTGAAGGGACGTGACCCAGAGCACAGTCGTAGAAACATCGGCCTGGAAAAATCAGAAATCTTGTTTGGTGATCTTTCTCAACTAATAGAAAGCTGAGACCAAAGACATTGTATGACTCATTCAGGTTCACAGAACTAATTCATGTCTGATACAACATTTTCAGTCTTCTTAGGAAGCTCTTTGTATTGCGTTATTCTACTTCTTACATGAAGATTTAAATTGAATATGTTAATGGATTTTGTAGAACATAGTTTTCACCAATTTGTACACAAGTAACCTGAGTGCACTAAAAAATTTCTGTGTAATCTTACCTCTTCCTTGCAACGTTGTTTTCCCAAAGTATTTATAGAGAAAGCCAAGGCCTGTCCCTGTGACCTATATGGTCAAAAGTACACCATACCACCTTGCACTCTCTAATGGTTAGCTCATTTTCTCCCTCCCATTACCTCATGCTCTCATTACACTGGTTTTCTTACTTTACAGAACACATCTCAGTGCTGTTCTGACTCTTGACTTCCACTTTCTTCTCCTGAATGATTTTTTTCCAGATAGGGTATATTTCAATAGCTAATCTCTTTATGTCCTTGCTTAAGCCTCCCATTATAAATGAATATTTTCCCGACCTGCCTGCTTAAAGTCTATGTTTTGTTTACTGCTATATCATCACTGCACAGTAGGCCATTGCACTTTTTATTGATGAATTCAAAAATGAATGAGTAAAGAGGTAGCAATTTATCTTTCCAATAGATAAAACATACATTCCGTAACATTAACAAGGAGTGTGGAACAAATACCTCTGTTGTCATGTGAAACATTATGCATTAATCATTGGAGAATCATGAATCAAGTCTTGGAATATCTAAAACTTTACCAATATTTTTATACATAAAATGGCTTTCTGCTTTGTTCCATCCCAAAACATTCCTACGTCTTTCAGTTAATAATCTTAACAGTTGAGGGGTAATTGAATGTTTTTGCTATTGGATCAGACATTCTGGTGCAGCAGGTTAAGTCACATCCCATGTTAAAGTACTGGTTCGAGTCCCAGCTACTCTACCTCTGATCCAATTCCCTGCAAATACACCTGGGAAGTAATGAATGATGGCTCACTTTCTTGGGTTCCTGCTGTTGAGGTCTTAAGCCTGAGGCTGGCCCCTGACCAGCAGGGGACAGTACAAGCACTCCACGACAAGGTGAACGGGAGAGGTAAGGTCGACAGGTCAAGCACACGGCAGCAAGCACCTGTGAGTTCTTTTGAAGCAGGAACTACTTTATTGAGGAAGTATACAGGCTTATAAAGCTTAAGAAAGATATGCGTAGTAGGGGAGCCAATCAGCAAAAAGGTCATGCAGGCGTGGGTGGACCTCGCACAGGGGCATCTTAAGCAAAGTATAGGGATCATGCACTGTTCACGTGTCCAGAACTAAAGTAGACCTATCCCTGCAGGTGGTCCGATCTCGTGTGGCTTAACCGCAGGGGCCGCAAACACGCCCCCCGAATATCCACCAGGTGCCATGTTGTCAGGTACTATTTTAGGCAATGCCCAATACCTGCCACCCACGTAAGAGACACAGAGGGTGTTCCTGGCTCCAGACTTTAGCTTGTACTAGCCTTGGCTCTTGAGGTCATTTGGAGAGTGAACCAACAGAAAGGAATGCTCTCTTGCTCTCTCTCTCTCTTTCCCTTCCCCTCCCTCCCTCCCTCCCTCCACTCAGCCTTTAAAATGAATGAATGACTCTTTTTAAAAAGTCTTTGTTATTTGTAGTCAACTTACAGCATAGATAAAAAATAACAAATACTTTAAGAAAGCTTTATCTTTGAGTGGATATGAATTTTTAATGTATATATTAAAAACTTATGTATTCTATTGAATAGGACAGCATTGAGTGATAAAAGTACCTTCAGAATTCATTTATTCATTCATTCATTCAGACTGTAGTATCAATCTTCAGAGGAAGGATGGAGAGACAACATGTGGTAGTCAGATAAGGAATGCCTCAGATGTATGCATGGAAATTTAGAAGTTAAACATATAGTACTTAAAAAGATAAGGGTGAGTTCTGAGCCATTGGTTAAAACCCCAGTTAAGAGGCCCAGTTCCATATGGGAACCTCTGTATTAGATTGTCAACTAGAACTCCTGGATCCAGCTTCCTGCTAGTGACTCATGAGACAGTGATAGCTCAAGTAATTGGATTCCTGCAGCCCTTGTGGGAGACTTGCATTGATTTGTGAGCTTCTGGCTTCTGCTGTGCCCAACCCATATCTTGTGGGCATTTAAGTAGTGAGCCAACAGATGGAAACTTGGTCTCTCTCTCTCTCTCTCATTTCAACTTAAAAGATAATTAAGGCTGGCGCTGTGGCTCAATAGGCTAATCCTCCACCTTGCGGCGCTGGCACACTGGGATCTAGTCCCGGTCGGGACGCCGGATTCTGTCCTGGTTGCCCCTCTTCCAGGTCAGCTCTCTGCAATGGCCAGGGAGTGCAGTGGAGGATGGCCCAAGTGCTTGGGCCCTGCACCCACATGGGAGACCAGGAGAAGCACCTGGCTCCTGGCTTTGGATCAGCGCAGTGCACCAGCCGTGGCGGCCATTGGAGAGTGAACCAAGGGCAAAAGGAAGACCTTTCTCTCTGTCTCTCTCTCTCACTGTCCACTCTGCCTGTCAAAAATAAAAAAAATATATATAATTAAAAGAAAACTTTAAAAAATGCAAGAGAAAAGTTCATGAAAAAATGAAACTAAAAGGTAAGC